ATTAGAAATCTGATCCTGGCAAAATTATGTCAGAAACAGCATTGATGGCAGAAATTTTAGCTTCAATGAAATCCCAGCTCACTTTGCAATTTCAGAACAAACATAGGAATCCAAGAACAGCAATGAAAGACTAGAGACTGAACACAAAGTTATACTGCATATACTTAGTAGGCCTGTGGAATGTCACGTAATTTATTTAATCAAGTAGTAAGGACATTCTAGATTAGATATCTTGGAATTTGGGCTTGGGGTCATAATATGTTTATACCTAAGTTTCTCACCTCATTTTTCCTTTTTATCTTTCTCTACAACACCAGCTGTATAAGTAGACTCAACCATAGCAGTAAAGTCCTAATTAAAATTCAAAAAATTTTCATAGTATTATTTGAAAAAAGAAAAATGAACATGTTCATTTAGAAAAAAGGCTATCATGGCTCTAATTAGCTCAGTAATGATCAGTAGTGATTCAAGTGTATGGACAGATTAAGCACACACACTCATTCACATGGCTCAGCATTTCCTAATCTCCTGTGGTGCATATATGTGTGTCAGTCATCAGCAATTTAAATAAAATACTAAAAATGCCCTCATTCTAAAATATTGTGAAATATGTTTGGAGATATAACTCTCATGTGCATAAGATGATTAATATAAAATACTAAAATAATAGATAAGCCAATATTTTATTTGTTTGTTTTTGATTATCTACCATAGGGTCCATAAAATGTCTCCTTTAAATGAATGTTGAGCCTCATCTAATTTTGTACAAAACTCTCTATTTGTCGCTGTTATATCCTTAAACAACAGTATTAATTCTTTATTGCCTGTATTATAAATCAATGTGTAAGTTATTTAAGAAACAAATTTTAGCCTCTATATGTTCATGCTCAAAAAAGTGCCTGGAACATACTTGTTTATAGTATGTTTATGAAAAACTTCATAATTTTAGCCAATTTTAAATATATACAAAATATATATGATAATAAAATCAAAAAATCGGTTAGAATATGTCTGGGAAACTCCATTAATATATAGTTCACATGTTGTATAAGTTAATTACTTAGAACAGAAAATAGAAGCAAACAAAAATAGTATTCAGAAATTATAACATAAAAGGAGTAATGTGTGTGTGTGTGTGTGTCTGTGTGTGTATGTGTGTGATATACTCAGGTCCTCACTAAAACACTAAAAGTTATCTGACCCAATATATATATATACTTCTAATAAGCACTAACCCATACTAAACCGTGAAAATCAAAAAGTCTGCTGCATTACTCCATTGCAAGTCACAGAAAATTAAATATTATCTTAAAAAAGTAAAACATTGTTAGTAAGATATTACAATGGCTCACAGGAAGTTAAACTTGTGGGAACCAGGGAGCTACAGCACACTTCAGTGCTGGAAAGAATTTGTTTGCACCACTAACTCTCTCACCTTTCACCTCTCCATCTTGTTTCTATCAGTTTTGAATTAAGCTAAACCACGTGATGTGTTAAACGGTCCCAAGTTGGATAAACAAGCAGTAGGACACATTTTACATCTCAGCTAAGAGGAGAGAGAATTGTCACTATCAGTTCAATTTAAAGAACTGAGTAATAGGTTTCTTAATATCCTAGCAGAACTGATCACTATTCCCATGCATGTGGACTTAATGGGATTGGCACAATTGGTCATATGCCAATCTCTGTCCCATGACCCCAATCATTGTGACTGTAATATATGAAAAAGGAGATGGATGCTCTTTCCAGAAAGTCTGGAGAAATGCTATCTGTGAATATATCTGTGAAGTAAGAATGCAGTTTGCAATCAATGGTGTCTGCGAATTGATGCAATATGGTACTAGCTTCTATAGTTTGCAATTAGATGAAGTCTAGAAATCAGCAGCCTTTCAACTTAGCTGCAGTCTTATGACATCATCTTTGTGGGAAAAATGCTTAAAAAAGGGGCCCTATTAAAGCTAAGATGTTTAGCTTATACAGACAAAAGTAGTCATCTACTTTTAAAATTACACTACTGTTCTCACGTAAATCCTATATCACAAAGGCATACTGTCTTTGCCTAATTCACATATACTCTACGTCTTAAAAATGATGCTCCCTTTTGTCCCTTTTAATTTTATAGTGTAGCATTTTTTGCAACGTTCTCACAGTAACCTCTCACAAATAACCAATGTGAGAAAACAAATCAGTACATACAAAACCAAAACACAACACAACAAAATAACAACAAAACTTAGCATAACCTAAAAAAAAAAAGTCTTTGAACTATTGTCTTTTGGTATGGTTTACATGCATTCCCATAGGTCTTTGCACTTTTTCGTCTCTGATGGTTTCTTTCACTTTTCTGGAAATTTTCCATTGAGTGCCTTTCTGAAGAATTTTCCTGGTAGCAGATTGCTCTGAGGTTCTGTGCAATAGAGTTCAAGGTAATTTGGGTAACCATGGGCTTAATCATTCGTTGTTTGACAATTACGTTTAGACTAGGGTTTCTCATCCTTGGCACTATTGGCATTTTGGACCGGGTAATTCTTTTTCATAGGGGCTGTCCTGTGCATTGAAGAATGGTTAGTAGCATCTCTGGCCTCTAACCACTGAATATCAATAGTGCACCCACACCTCCCAAATTGCAACAACCAAAAATGTGTCTCCAGACATTGCCAAATGTCTCTTGGAGGTAACATTTTCCACAGTTGGGAACCACTGTTTTAGGAGCCCCAGAGCTGGGCTTTTGTTGCTCCAAGAACTATGCTCTACGTTTCAGAAATGTGAAAATTATTATATCAACCAAAAAGTCATCCCTTCCCCCAATGGCATTTTTGTATCTTTATATTATTTTTCATTTCATTTTATTAAGAATATCAGAAGAGACCTAATATATAGATTCTCTTTGAGAGTCTTGCACATGACATCTATAATAACCTGCAAGAATTAGATACTTATTAAAGCCACTTAATCGCCACTCATCTTGTTAATGGAGTCTGTGGAAGTTTTCACATAGCCTATGCTCATACTGGGAGAATATGAGCTTCTATTTCTTTCGATTAATAAAGTATGTTGACAACTGTTTTGTCATGCTACAACCCCGAACTCCATGTCTGCATTTGTAAGATTTTGGAAAAGGCAGATGGATATGACTATATACCTCAAACATAGAAACATTTCTTGTCCTGATCTGATGATAGGGATTTCCTACAGTAGAATAGCTTTGTCGAAACAAATGCAATCTTGAATTTGAAACTAAAATGTAACCAAGATAGTACTATACCAGAGTTTCAATACACAAAGAGTGCAATGCGCACCACCAGAAGGATGGACATATTTGAAATTCGGACTTGGGGGGGGGGCAAGGGCAACATATGTAACCTAAACATCTGTACCCCCATAATATGCTGAAATAAAAAAACAATAAGAATTGAATCCCAACTTCAGAATTCCTATATATGTGAATTTCATTAAATCAATCTCTCAGAGTCTCCATCTCTTCAATTAAAATAAATAGGGAGAAATGCTTTATAAAAACCTAGGCCATCATGAGAAACAAATAAAATATGCCTGGAAATTCCTGAAAGCATATCTTGCATATATTAGAGATTCAAAAATAATGCTTATATCTATTAAAACTCTTCATTAATTGTGAGGTATTATCCAATTGGGTGGTTGGTCCAATTATTCTTCTTTTAGTATTTGACTCTTTGAGGCTAAAAGTGTAGAAGATAAAATTGGTACGGTTGATGGAAAAGACTTGATTCAATGAGTGGGCATAAGAAATAGTTTCCATGATATGCAAGATTCTAAGGTCATATTAGGAAGGAAAATTGGAATTTTTGTCATAAGTAACATCCAAGACAATAAATTTCTCTTTAACATCATATCCTTTATTCCTATTGTTAAAATCTGTGAGCATTTATATGCCCACACTTGAAATACACAACTTAAGTAAACTGTATTCTACATATGAAATAGTACTGAACTCTTCAATAAACATTTTTTCCACCAAAAATGGCCTTATTTTTACATTCATTCATTAGCAATTATTTATTGAGATCTACTCTGCTTCAGAAATGTCCTAGACATTATGTGTAGAGATAAAGAAAATAGATAGTTCTCCCCAATACTCTTTATTCAGGAAGTAGAAAACAAATAAATGTATCTATAATTACAAATATTAAGTATAATGAAGAATAAAGAGATAAAAAAGAAGGTCATAATATGAACTGGGGTTTAGGTCCTCTATGATGAAATTAAGCTGAAAGTTTAAAAAAATGAATAGAAATGAGTTGTATGAAATTGGAATCAAGAGTATTTTAACAAAAGGCATCTAATGTGAAAACCCACAGAAGACAGAGAGCTCTGTAAAGTGAATACCTCTTCAGAAGGCCAGTGTGACTGGAATTTAATGATTATTTGATGATAGAAAGAGTGCAGTCCATATATGGTCTTAGAGTATGTTCTTCTTTGATTTAATTATTTTCCTAAAAAAGTAAGAGTTTGTATTTTGCCTTTTAGAATGTTGACTCTCACCTTGCATAGAGAATCAGTTAAAAGGCAGCAAGAGTGGACATTTAGAAACTTAGGAGGTTTTTGCAGTATTTCACTAAAGAAATGCTGGTGACATATTAATACTAAAATGATTAAAATGTAAAAAGATATAGAATTAAGATACAATTTTGGTCTAGCATTAAAAGGACTTAGTGTAGAGAGGTTGAATGTGGAGGATGAGAAATCAACTACTGTCAGAACTATAGACATTACTATTTTTCTGACTTGGTTGTAATTTTTTGCTTTAATCAGAGATGATAACAAAAGACATACTTTTTTCCTGTTAATTGAAATGGGGACCTCAAGCAATGCATTTTGTGTTTCCAGTTCTATGGCCATTCTCAATATCCAGAATGAATGAAATAAGTCTCGTGATAAAAATAAAAATATATATTGATAATTCTTTGCATCGAATATTAGGTTTTCTCAAACTCACCTTAAATCTCTCTTACTAAAGACAACTCCCATTATGTTTTATATGCTACGTGACTGTTATATCTGCTTCTGACACAATTTTGCTCCAATTCTCACTCTAATCTGTCTAGTTTTCACACAATAAACAATTGGGTTCATCAGTGGAGGTACAAGAAAGAGAACATTTGCCATGAGAACATTAGCGAGGGGAGAGACATGCCGGGCAAAGCGATGGACAATGGCCAGGTTGATGATGGGCAGATAGAAGATGATCACAGCACATATGTGCGAAACACAAGTATTGAGGGCCTTGAGCTGCTCCTTTTGGGATGCAATTCCCAGCACAGTCTTGAGGATCAGGATGTAAGACACAGCAATGAGCATAAAGTCTACCATAAGGCAGAGTGCCCCCAAAAAGCCATAGATGACATCAATTTGGTTGTCAGAGCAGGCCAACTTCATGACATCTTGGTGTAGACAGTAGGAATGGGATAATTGACTTTTCTTACAATATCTTAAACTTCTCAACGTGAAGGGGAAGGGAAGAACCAGGAGTATGCTCTTGAAGGAGAGTACCATTCCTATTTGGGCAACTCTGACAGTTGTAAGGATGGAGCTGTATCTCAGAGGGTTGTGGATGGCTAGGAAGCGGTCAAATGACATGATCAGGAGGACTGAGGACTCAAGTGCTGTGAACCCATGGATGAAGAATTCCTGGGCAAAGCAGGCATTGGCAGAAATTTCAGGAGCATTGAGCAGGAAGATCCTCAACATGGTTGGCAGAGAAGATAAAGACAAACCCAAGTCAGACATAGCCAACATGGAAAGGAAATAGTACATGGGCTCATGCAAGGAGGGCTCTGTCTTGATAATAGAAAGGATAGTACAATTTCCCAGAATAGCAATAAGATACATGCTGCAGATGGGGATAGAGATCCAGATGTGTGCATATTCTAGCCCTGGCATCCCCACCAAGAAGAAAGTGGTGATTTCAAAGTGTGATGTGTTGACAGTGGACATAATGCATTCAGAGGGCTCTGCAATAAAACATATAGACACCAGCGTTGGTAAAATATTAATATCTGGAAATTTTGTAGTATAAAAAGCAATGTTTAGATTTATGGCTTCTTTCAGCTTTCTTGTGACAGAACAAAGCATTTATGTGGCTATCATATGGAGAAAAGTAGATGCCACTTTAGACTAGAATCTGCCTATATTATAAATTCGGAAAATTATTTCTGGCTGTATTTTTTCTATGGAGAAACAAGATTTAAATTTTGCATTTAGATATAGATATTTCATTTTTTCCTGTAAAATATTAGTAAACCTTAGTTAATTAATTTGGAGTCCTCATTATTTCTTGCTTTCAGATCCTAGATAAAGTATTGGGTAAGACATATGATTTTTTAGAATGACCCTACATGTGGGCAAAAGAATCTTACAGATAAAATGCCTTCCTAATTCTCAGCTCCCACAAATGTATGGTCTTCTCAAAACCAAACTTCCCTAAGTTTTATCCTTGCCATCTGAAATTTGTTGATGATTTATCCTCGCCACAGCAATTAGGCAAGAGAGGGATATTAAGGGTGTCCAAATGGGGACAGACGAGATCAAACTCTCTCTCTTTGCCGATGATATGATATTATATCTAGAAAACCCTAAAGACTCATCTAAGAGACTCCTAGAACTGATAAACGAATTCAGCAAAGTCTCAGGCTACAAAATCAACACACACAAATCTGAGGCATTCATATATGCCAACAACAGTCAAGCAGAAGATCAAATCAAAAAGGCAATTCCTTTTACAATAGCCTCAAAGAAAATTAAATATCTAGGAATATATTTAACGAAAGATGTAAGAGACTTATACAGGGAGAACTACGAAACACTGAAAAAAGAAATTGTAGAAGATGTAAACAGATGGAAAAACCTACCTTGCTCATGGATTGGTAGAATCAATATCGTTAAAATGTCCATACTACCTAAAGTGATCTACAGAATTAATGCAATCCCTATCAAAATCCCATTATCATTCTTCACAGATCTGGAAAAAATAATTCTACGCTTTGTATGGAACCAGAAAAGACCTCGTATAGCCAAAGCAATCTTAAGTAAAAAGAACAAACTGGGAGGTATCAGTTTACCTGACTTTAAGCTGTACTACCAGGCTGTAGTGATTAAAACAGCTTGGTACTGGCACAAAAATAGAGACATTGACCTCTGGAACAGGACTGAGAATCCAGAGATGAAACCATCTGCATATGGTAATCTAATCTTTGACAAAGCTGACAAAAACATACACTGGGGAAAAGAATCTCTTTTCAATAAGTGATGATTTAAACATTCTTTACAAAATCACATTATTTTTAAATCATTTATATAGTTGAAAGGGAAGTACTGTAGAGATTACTGACAGACGGTGTGTCATTTTCTCCTGGACTGGAATTTGTGACCAGTTGTGTAGTGTTGACTGGAGGACAATAACCTGAAGTGGTTAGTATAACAATTTAGGAGAATTTGAATTCTACAAAACCTGGGATGCCAAAAGATAAATAGTCTATTTACACAGTCTCTGAAAGGAGCACTCTGTCTAGTGGTATGAGTTTCCAATGCTCATCCTGCTCTGTATAAAGTTCTATGTGGCTGAGACAAAAAGAGAATTCAAATGAAAGCCAAATACACGAGTATATCTGGGTACTTACTAGAGAGTGGATATTTTGGTGAGCACTTTTGAGAGTAGCTGAAGAATCTCAGTATTAAAACCCAAGAAGATATCATTGAAATCTTCTGCCACCAATAGCTCCTCCTGATATAGAAGGGCTTGTCTCCTCCTTTTCCCCTAAACACTGGCTCTGGGACCACTGAGTGCTCTAGGGATGCAGCCAAGCTGGATCTTTTCTGAGAATAAGAATAAACATCTGCAGATGTAGTAAACCCATCCATGTTGATACCAAGGAAACGTAATAAACATCCAGACCTTGAATAAGGGGCTGTTTGGTTAGAGAGAGGTCCTTAATAATCAGGTATTAGAGAGACATAGTAAATCCTGTACAAAAGCCATGATAACTTCTGTTGGATAGTTCACTTATATATTATTCTTTTACCCAGGGCAGAGCCTAAGCAGAATGCTATGTGTTGAGTCTGCATTCAAGGAAATGTTGCAGGACAAATACCCTACGTAATAATTTTACTCTAGACTTTACTCCTGAATCCTGGATCCATCCTTCCAGGTGCTCTGGACATTACTGACTAAAGATTCCTTAAAACCAAATCATGCACCCTAAACTCCATTTTCCCTTCCCAAACCTGCACTTTTCAAGGAACTTATCAGAGTAATAAGCTTTCGTGTTTAAAAATTCACTAGCCAAAAATCTGAGCTCTTTTGTCTCACGTTTTGTGCACACTAAAAGCCAATATTTATTAAGAATTTAAATTGTTTCATTTATTGAGTTTTATTACTAGATGATGATTTCAAATCCTGGAATCTTTTGAATAATGTTAACTAATGTTATCTTCTTCATTTTTTTGATGAAGAAATTGTTTCTCAAGGAAATCAAGCAGTCTGTCCAAGATCACATGAGGGTTGTAGGGTAGCGGTAAGCTAGGAACTCAGGTCTGTCGTAGCGAAACATACAGCGTGCAGTCTTGATGATCAATCAATATTCGAAGAGTTGCAAACCGAATGTTTGTCTGGAATTCTGTACTATTGTCAGCACTGCAAATTGACTACTGGTTGATTTCTGGGGATAATATGGAACATTTAGTCTCACAGTTGTGAACCTTTGAAATAATGAAAATCATGCCAGCATGTAGATCTTGGGGAAAAGGTACTTATGGAGAAGAAAAATACATACTCACTTTCATTAATATATTGTCTTTGGAGGGATGTTAATAGAGTTGACTAAGGCGAGGAAACATAAGGAAGTTTTACCATAATCTTCCCATGAAGTTTTTTAAACTATGTGATGATTACTTCTTAATTGCAAACAGCCTACTGTTTGCATCCCCCTTGGCTATGTTGCCAATAATTCTTCTCTTTCATTCTTGCTTTCCCTGCGAGCTTTCTCCATGTTGTTCTCATTAAACAGAGAGCAGCATGCATTTTGTGTGTGTGGTAATTGCTTTGGTAAGGTCATGTGTCCATGGGCTTAATGTCCAACTTGAAGGACTGAGTCCATTTGTTCCATGACAATATAAAGGAACTGACAGAAGGACAGGTAGCACATCTGTTTTTTTTTTTTTCTAATCTTGATGTGTACAGTCACTAGCACAGTGGATGACATATAATAGCTTAGTAAATTTTTGTTAAATTAATAAATGATTATACTTTTAAAACTGGCATCATAAAATATGGACTGTTTTTATCCTTATTATCTTTCTCATTTTGCTATGCTTACTGTGCAATAAAAGAACAGATTTTAATAACTATAAGAACAAGCCATAAAGATTTTTACATTGCAACCTACTATTGTATCAATTTTTGTCTGCTTAATTTATATGATAGTATATTTTGAAAGTTTTATTTGTGCACATATAACATGAATATAAAGAATATTATAAATGCTATAATAAATGAATCATGCATATATATAATTGTTAACATTTCGTTCCATAGATTTGAGGTTTTTTCTTGTAAAAATAAAATATTTCAGATTAATAGAAGTTTCTTTGGCCCCATATACTGAATGATAATGAAGATATGCATATCAAACAGATGGGATACAGCTGAAGCAGTGCCTATATAGAAAATTATATGTTAAATTCATTTATTTTATCAGAAAAGAAGAATAGTTGAAAATACAAAGATAAAATTTCTATTTCAAGAAGATTGTAAAAGAAGGAAAAATTGAGCTGAAAGGAAAATGAAGGAAATAATAAGAGTAAGATCAGAAATCAATTTAAATAGACATAAAAAAGTCCCCAAAGTATACATTTGGTTCTTCGAAAATTTTTATAAAATGCATTTTAAAAAACTTAGCAAGACTGATCAAGAATAAAGAGAAAAAACAAAATTTATATTAATAATGAAAGCAGGGAATATAACTACAGATCTATAGACATACAGAAAATAAGTAGATTTAATAAACATAATGAATAACCTTTTTTCAGTACATAATTAGGTAAACAGATCAAATTCTTTAAAAAATACTAGGCCCCAGAATTTAAATAAGAAGGAAGAGAAAAGATGGGTAGTGCTATATCTGTTAGCACGATTTAGTTTAGACAGTAGCTTAGAACAAACATAGTTTAGAACAAAGCTCTGAAAAAAAATACTTCAAGTGGGCTTTATGATTTATTCAATGTTGTATATATCCTTTCAGAGAATAGAACACTTCCCAACTTGTTTCATGAGTAGTATCTAAACCAGTAAATTAATTATGAAAAAGGTAATTATTGGCGAATATATATTATGCAGAGATTTAAACCTTAATAAATAAGGATAGAGTATAATGACATATGAAGAAGATAAAACGTAATAGAATAACCAAGTGCAACTTATCCCAGGAATGTAGGATTAATTTTCAAGAAACATGAATGCATTTTTCCAGACTGCCAGACAAAAACAATAAATTCACATGATCATCTCAATATATAAAATTTA